CCACCGGCCGGTGCGCGCCCCGCCGTGTACAGGCGCAGCACCAGCGCGCCCGGGATCACGTGGCCCGCCAGGTCGGTGGCCAGCAGGCTGGCGACGAACAGCAGGAAAGTGGTGGCCGAGCGGCGGCGCCGCAGGCGGCCCGCGGCCTGCGCCAGCAGCGCCAGCGCCAGCACGTTGGACACGGCGCCCAGCGTCATGGAGAAAATGGGCAGCGCGGGCGATGCGCCCGAACCGCCCGACGGCGGCACGGCCGACGCGTTGGTGACCCCGGGCGCCGCACACGTGGTCGCCTCGCTGGCCAGGCTCAGGTTGAAGGGCATGGCTCATGTCCGGTGCTGGGGGTGCTGGGCACAGGAGAGGAGGGCAGAGTGAGGCGCGCGACCAGCCGGTGGGCCCATCTCGGATCATCGGAGCCAGTTTGACCCCATGACGTCCTTATGTGGCCCCTGCCCATGGCAATTCCAAATGACCCGGCTACTCCATTTCTGACCCCTCCTCGTCCTTCTCTGCTTTTCACCCCCCCCCCTCCTGCTCCCGGGCTTTGCTCTGCCACCACTGTCCCCTCGTCTGTCCACCACGGGTCCCTTCGGGAGCTCCCTGGTCCCAGCCCTCAGTGTCTCTGCCCCCACCTCTGACCCCCACCTCCCATTTTTACACCACAGCAAATCCCAGGCTCCTCTCTCCATCTGATACGCACTGATCCATTCTGACTCCAAGGCTCCACCTTACCCTGCTGTCCCATCTCCTACCTTCACCGTGTCACCTTTACTTCAGTCCCACTCTTGACGCCCACAACCCCATCTCTGCCACCGTGGACATATCTCTCCCCATGGCCTCTCGCTCAGGCCCTACCACTGACCACCTCTGCCTCACCCTGGATGCCCATGTTTCCACTCCCGCCCAGCCCATGTCCCTGCCCCAGAGGCTGAAGGCTGACCCAGGGCCACCCACTCCTGGATACCCTGGTGGCGAGGGCTAAAAGGGCAGAACTGCCCACTGGACCAGATGGGAAAAGAGGATGGACAAACAGGAGGACTGACAAGGACAGAAACAGAACGTAGCCATGGCCCCATCCTTCCGTGCCCCCCTCCTCCCCCACCAGAGACCCTCATGTGCCCCAACCTTCTTACCCAGCGCTGCCTGGGGTGCCGGGTCCCCATCGCCCACTGCTCAGCCCCGCTGCGCCCGCGCCCGCTGTGCCCTAGCGCTCCTGCAGGCCGCTCCCTTCCTCCCTCTTCCTGGGGCGGCTCCTCCCGCCGCCCTTGCTGGCCTCCAGGGGCCGCTCCACCCCGCGCACGCCCGCTGGGGGCCTGGAATGGCAGAGACCCCCTTCCTGTGCTCCTGGCAATGGGCAAGGGCCACTCCTGGCGTCAGCTCCCCCCAGGAGGAGGGAGGCTCCCTGGGAGTTAGCCTGGCCCCCTGTGACCCCCCCTCCTCCCAGCGGGGAGGGAGCAGCCCCCTTCCCCCAGGCTCCAGCCTCATTAATAAAGTGGATAAAATCTAAACACTGGAAAATATGAGTGTTGCCCAGGGCAGGCTGGGGCGGCTGCAGTGGGTGCCGCTGCCCCCACTGGGGGCTTTGGGATTGGGGGGGACTAACCCTGTGTGAGGGTAGCAGTGTCCCCTGCCCTGCCAGAGCCTTCATGGATGGCAGGGTGGGTGGTGGTGGGCTGTACCTTGGGTGCACCAGCTTGGGTCAGGCCCAGCCTGGCCGGGGGATCCGCCCACTATTTACACAGGGGCTTAAGCCCAGGCCAGGGCCAAGCGAGTCATACCCATTCCTCAGGAGGGAGGGGGAGGAGGCTGCAGAGAGCAGGGGAACCGGAAGGCCTGGTGACCTCTCTTCCCCCAGCACCCGGGTCCTGCTTCAGAATGGGTTGAGCAACACCTGGGACACACAGCCCAAGCCACAAAACAATCACACCCTTAACCCTGGACACACAGCTGCGGCCTCACCTCCTGCCCTGAGAAGGAGGGTCACAACCCTGAGGGGCACACACACGTCTTACACCCTAAGACATACCATCATATCACTTAACGCCCTGAGACCCCACCACGGTGGCATCCTGTCCCCATCTCAGCAGCAGCTAGGCTGTCATCATTACACCCCTGAACTCACTGAGATTCTCACCCCCAGCACTGGAAATGCACCAGTTACCGCTGGCACCAACCACTGCCCTTGAAATACCCTGCCCCCTGAAATGACCCCCCCATCACACCCCTCAGTGCTGGGAAATACTCTCACCTAGCATTTGAGACACACAGTCCTTACAGCTGAGAGCCCCATAGTCACACCCCATAACACCCACAGGCACCCCCTAACACTTCAAGACTGGCTCCACAGACACACTCCATACACCCAAGACACAAGGAGTGGCACTCCCTGAACACCCAAGACCTAGCTGGTCAGCCCCTCGCCCCAGAAACAGCAATGTACCCTTTTGAGACACACACTCAAACCCCCTGATGCCCCAAGACACAGCCACACTGTCGCACTCCACACCTCCGAAGACACTGCCGGTTACATCCACCAACAGCCTGGAACACAGAAACAGTCGTCACACCCCTTACCCAAACGCAGGCACAGGTCACAGCCCTCCCTCAACATGGTCACAAGCCATCAACGCTGATATACACACCCTCCTACTCAACACCCGAGACCCACACAGCCACACCCCTTTACCACCTGAGCCATCTACTAGCACAGACACGATGCCTACAGTGCCCAGGGATGCCCTGAGTCCCCCCGACAGCGGAGCCCCCACCCTGCCCCGCGGACACAACCCCAGGCTGTGCACGCACCCAGCCCGTGGGCCCTCCCCTCCTCGGCACCCCCCTGCTGCAAATGGGGACCGGGCTGGGCTCACCCCCAAACATTCCTGCAGGAACCTCTGGCCTGGCTTCAATGCTCTCCCTTCACTCCAGGTCTGGCCAGGGTCCCACCCCCACTTCCCTGGTTCCTCCTCTATCCTGGAGGCTGAAGTACGTTGTCAAAACAAGTGCTCCGGGTTTATGTCCAGTGCGAGCATCTGGGCCATGGCCACCTGCGGACCCTGCATGGCCAGCAGCAGCTGGGGTGGGGGCTGCATTGCCACTGTCCCCCTGTCCCCCCTGCCCTGGGGGTGGGTCTCCTCCCCATCAGCAGTCCTGCGGACCGCCTTAGGTCCACCCCATCTGTGTCCTGGGCTGTCACCGGCTGTGGACAGGAGCTTCATACCCACTGCTCATGTGGGGCTCAGGCTGGCAGGAGGCCTTGTTCGAGAGGGGCTGGACTTGAACCCTCTACAGGCCAAGCAGTTCCAGCCTTGCCTGGAAACCCGGTGGCCTGTAGCCAGGAGGAACGGTGGGAGGGGGTGGGCGGCCCAGAGCCAGCCACTAATTCAATTTGAAGCCCAAGGAAGATGGATTTCAGCTGCTGCATTCCTTCCCAGCTCCGGTCCGCCCCCTCTCCCACCCGCAGCCACACAGGTCCGACAGCAGATAGATTCTTTATGTCCAACACAGCAAATTCAGATACAAAAGCCCACCGCCATCTTCTCTCCCTCCCTCCCGCTCGTCCCAGGCTCAGCCGTGAGGGAGGGATGGGGGGTGGGGAGGAGGTTGGGGTTCACAGCAGACACTTTTCAAATGTGGAGGTAACAAAATCCACTTGGAGGGGGGCTCCACTTGGGAGGGTGGCGGCAGAGGGGGAGGGGATTATTGCATTTGCTGAGGAGGGACTTGCCCTATTCTGCATTCCCCGCGGCAGGAAACTAGGGAGGTCACGACCCCCAAACAGAACCCGAGGCCCCAGGGAGACAGAGGGACCAGTTTGGCAGCTGATGGTGGAAAGTGTTGGGGGTGGAGGTGGCCGTCCAATTTAGCCAGTCCCTCCCCACATGCCTGAGCCGGCTGAGGTAGGTGGGGAACAGGGTAGGGGGGCTGGGGACCCCAGCCAGGCTGGGAACTGGGGAGGGGGTGGTACCAATTGGAGTGGGGCGGGGGCCTGGCCCCCCCCCCCCCCCCCCCCCGTCCCCGGGCGCCCGGGG